TTTGTTCTCTTGGCAACCCACAGTGTATGTTCAATACTCTTCTCCAATACCATAATTCAAAGGCATCAATTCTTTTATCATCCTTAGTCATTGTCCAAGCTCACCTTAGTCTCTAGACTCTTTTCAGCACTCTGTAGAGGTCTCTAACAGCAGATTTTCCTAATGCAGTTCATCTTTTGATTTCCTGACTGCTGATGCCAAGAGTGTTGATTCTGGAACCAAGCAAGCTGAAATTGTTAATGATCTCAATCTCTATCAATCATGTTGATGACACTTAACCTAGTGGTGAGAGTCTTTGTTTTCTTGATGTTGAGCTTCAATTCATATTGAAGTTGATCTTCTGCAGCAAATGCTTCAGATCCTCCTCAGTTTTGATAAGCAAGGGTATGTCATCAACATAATGCAAATTATTGATGCGTCTTCCTCTGACCCTGATGCCACTTTCCTCTTCATAAAGCCCAGGCTCCCAAATGATCCACTTCACATAATAGGTTGAAAAGGTGTGGAGAGAAGGTGTGTCCCTGACACATTATTTTCCAGATATATAAAAAAATAAAAGTTTATAAAGAACTTGGATTTCCATTCATTCATTGTTGCCCATCCCGTCCCCATCCCCAGTTCACTTTTTTTTTTGGAAAGAAAGTTCTTTCAAAAATGTTTTTGTTATAGTACCCACCCGCAGACCACTTTACTATGCAATATGCAACTTTTATTCTGGACTCTTGTCATGCCAGTAATACCTAATCATATATTCCTTTTATACAGTTCTCTCCCTCATCTGTTTCAATGCTGTGTACATTATTTATCCCCTCTATTCTTAGTCGTCCCCCCCCAATCCACATATCAGTCCTATAACAGTGGCATTATGTAATATTTGTCTTTTTGTGACTGAGATATTTAACACAGCATAATGCCCTTCATGGTCACCCATTTTGTATATCCTTGCCTTGTTTTGATGACTGCTTCCTGGTCTGGGTATAATCAGGTGTTCTATGATTCCCATTCTCAATGTTAGCCACAATTTGTTGTGATCCACACAGTCAAACACCTTTGCATAGTCGATGAAGCACAGGTAGACATTCCTCTGGTACTCTCTGCTTTTAGCCAAGATCCATCTGATACTGGCTATGATGTCCCTGGTGGCATGGCCTCTTCTAAACCCAGCTTATATGTTTGATAGTTCTCTGTTGATGTACTATTCTAGGTTTTGGATAATCCTAAGGATTTTGCTTGTGTGTAATATTACAGATACTGTTAGATAATTTCTACATTCTGTTGGATCACCTATTTTTGGAATAAATATGGATTTCTTCTGTCAGTTGGCCAGATAGTTATTTCCAAATTTCTTGGCATAACCTAGTGTGTATGTCCAGAATCTGTTTATTGAAATATGTCAATTGGTATTCCTTCAGTTTCTGGTACCTCTATGTGCTGACTCTGGGAGTGAGTTTCTCACCTGATTGCAGCCCCCTTTCCTGTCTACAAAGTGGCTCCATCAGAGTCCAGAACTGGAACTGGAGCAGCTTCTATCCTGGGGATGGTAGGAAGCTTGCTCCCTAGCACTTCACTGTGTTGGCTCTGGGATTGAGTCTCTACCCTGATTGCAGCCTTCTCTCCTGAAGTCTGTTGTCCTCTTTGGTCTGTGGGCTGGCCCCACAGTGTCCAAGTATCCCTCCTGGGACAGTTTCCCTCCCAAGGAGTTACATGTTCCTCACTCCCCAACACTACAATATGTTGTCTCTGGGAGTCAGTTTCTAACCTGATTCTGTGAGTGGAATTTTGCAGTAGCTTATTATCCTTAGAGAGTTGCTGTAATAACTTTGGAAGGATTTAAGTCTTTACACTGATTCTGAGGAATTGGCCCTGTCAGCCTAACACTTTGACATAAACTTTGAGAAAAACAAGAATTCCAGAACACTTTAATTATGTTCATATGAAACTTATATTTACTCCAAGAAAACTGTTGTCTGGAAAAAACAAGGGAACACTGCATAGTTTAAAATTTTAAAAGGTGTGCATCAAAGTTGTGTCCTTTCCCCATACCTATTCAATCTGTATATATCTGTATATATCTGTATGTATCATTCAAGAAGCTAGACTCTATGAAAATGAATGTGGCATCAGAATCAGAAGACTCACCAACAACTTATATTATGTAAATGACATAACTTTGCTTGCTAAAAGTGAGGAGAACTTGAAACACTTAGAATATCAAATGTCTTCAAAATGAATTCTATCTCAACATCAAGAAGACAAAAATCTTTACCACTGGGCTGACGAGCAAGTGGTGATACCAGGATAGACAGAAAAAAGATTCAAATTGTCAGTGATTTCATCTTGGATTCATAATCAACACCCTTGGTACCAGTAGTCAAGAAATCAAAAGATGTATTGGATTGTTAAAGTCTGCTGTCAAGAACATGTCCAAATTCTTGAGGGGCAATGTCAGACTAAGATTTCCTGATTCAGGCTATTGTCTTTCAGTCACTTGCTATGTGTCTTAGGAGCTGGAGAATGGATAAGTATGACAGAAGAAAAATCAATGCCTCTAGGTTGTGGTTAGTGTTGGAGAAGAGTATTGAATATGTTACTGACTTCCAAAAGAGTAAACAGATATGTCTTGGAAAAGTGCAGCTAGAGTACTTTTAGAGGCAAGGATGGTGAAACTTCATCTTACATATTTTGGGCATGTTGTTTGGGCAGGAGGGGTTATTCCTTGGAAAAAGATGTTATGCTTGGAAAGATCGAGGATCAGCAGAAGAAAGGAAGACAGATCGATGCAGTGACTGCAGCAGTAGACTTAAGTATGTCACAGATGGTGAGGATGGCACAGGATAGGATAGGGTTCATACCTGTTGCTCATAGGGCCACTATGAGTTGTTGTCAATTTGACAGCACCTAACAGCAACAGAACTGAGGAAGCAGTGACTTTGTCCCCATAGATTCATGGTGGCTGTCTTCTGGTCTCTGAACTATCTCAGCTTCTTTTCTTGAAGGATAATAGGTTTATAGTTCTATCAGCCTGTTTCCTGGTTATAGAATTCTGGAAACTGACTAACTTTCCTTCTTGTCCCGTCTTCCCTTTACTATATGCTGAGATGATTTATAGGTCTGTAGTCCACATGCCTGATCTCTCTCTAGCACTTGGTTTCTTAGCCTCACCATTATTATTCTCAGAACATTATAAAATTTTTAATTTGTCTCTCTCTTCTTAGATTTTATTCTAAGCAGCAAGGAGGAACCAGACTTTCTCTTCAAGATAATTATGTAGAAATTGGCTTAGCTAATTATCCAAGACTATCATGTGAAAGTTCCACTTTCACAAACCAAACTCTAGTTTAGCATTGCTTCAACATTCAGAATTCCTTTGCCAAATTATAACAAGGATCACTCTTACCTCAGTTTTTAATATTTCCTTTTAAGGCCTCCCCAAAAGTATATTTAATGGGCACCTTTCTAGCAACATTCTATTCATGCTTCTCTCTGAGTCCTCACCAGAATTGTGTTTAATGTTCATAATTCTACCAGAAGTCTCTGCAAGGCAATCTAGGATTTAATTATTAAGCACTTCAAAGTTCTTCCAACCTCTACCTATTAACCAATTCAAAATCATTTCCATGTTTTAGGTATCTGTTACAACAGCACTTCACTTCTTAGTACAAACTCTTAGTTTGCTAGAGCTGTGATACACTATATCACAAAGTAGGTGGCTTTACAGAATAGAAATGTAATTTCTTACAGTTCTTAATAGTTCAAGCTAAGAGTCTGAATTCAGGGCCAGGCTCTCTATGTCTACTCTAGGGAATGTGTTTTGCTTTTTAGATTTTTCAGTTTATTTGGGCACTTTTTAATGTTTTTAATTTCTCAGAGCCCTAGTGGTTTGATCTGTAGCGAGCTGTGTTAACTCAAAGGTAGCACCTCTCTGGTGGTTCAAACCCTGAGAAAGAAAGATGGGGCAATCTCCTCCCCATGTAGTTTACAACCTCAGAAACCCACTGTAGGGTCATCTCTGTGTCGATTCTATGAGAGAAATTGTCTCCGTGACTTTTCCTTTCCTTGAACATATCTGACATTGCCTCAATTCTTTTACTGTAGATAGAAGCAAGATTGTTCATTTGCCTAAAGCCATTTTCTAGGAATGCACTATGTATTGGTGATTTTCCACCCTGGGACTGTTTGAAGTTAAGGCGAAACAAAGACAGATGCCATGTGTCAGTCCTTCATGTATTCCCCGACTGCTATTTTTCTTCAGCATCCAGGGGCCAGTTAAGGTGAAACAAAGACAGATGCCTATTGTCAGGCCTTCATGTATTCTCAGACTACTGTTTTTCTTCATCTAGGGGCCAGATTCCCTCACTGGGTACTTAAGCCTGGTGTGTGCGGACAGCTGGAGTGGGGAGCTGGACAAGAGCAAGTAAAAATGTTGCAAAGCTTTGTAACCATATTTTAGTTGTTCCCTCCTCCTTGATTCAAAGTTCTATTGGTTGTTGTAAATCTTTGGCTATTTTCCAGAATTTTGACAAAGTTAATTCCAACATTTTTTACTCAATTTTGTGGTTTTGTTGAATGTAGGTGTGAATGGAGTTATCTACTTTGCCACATTTTGCTAAGGTCACTCAAAAAAGAATTAAAAAATAATTTTAAAAATAGGATGCTCCTTGGAGGCAAAGGATAGTGGAACTCCGTCTCATATACTTTGGCCATGTTGTTAGGAAGACCCAGTTGTTGGAAAAGGACATTATGCTCAGAAAGGTGAAGGGTCAGCTTAGGAGAGAAAGACCCTTACCATGTTGATGGATAGACACATTGACTACAGAAATGGACTTAAGTATGTCAGAGATGGTGAAGATGGCAAATGAATGATAGGGCAGGGGTCAGGTCCATTTTTCATGGGTCCCTGTGAATTGATAGCACTTAACTCGATAGCACTTAATAACAGCATCATAGTTTAATGAGTAGAGGACACAAAATTATATCAATGTTTTAAAAATTGTTAACAGGATGGAATCCGACGTGGTAGACCCAGAGCAGATACAGTCCGGGATTTAATAAATGAAGGAGAGCATTCGTCCAGTAGAATCCGTTGTAACATCTGTAATAGGGTATTTCCACGAGAGAAATCACTCCAGGCCCACAAAAGGACTCATACAGGTAAGCTGAGCTAATTTTTGAGAAGGCAAGAAGTAACATTTAATTAGAAGCTGATTTTATATTTGTTATTCTGTGCTGTGAAATCAGAACTGACTCCTAGCTTACACTCTCGCAAGTTTTTAGAGGCTTTAAATCACATGAAAAGAGATTTCCCATCTCTCCACTGTGGAGCAGCTGGTGATTTTAAACTGCGTGCTTGCCTTTGGATCGACAGTCCAACTTCTTACTCAACTAGGCTGCCAGGTTGGATGTTTAGGCCTGGATATGTATTTCCTAATTGATTTATATTTTCTATTACCACTATTGGTTATGAAGCTTTGTAAAACGCACTGCGGTCAGTTCTTTTTTGGTGAGAAGGAATTCTAAACATTGATACCAATATTTAACTTCTAAAGTTAGTATGACAATAGATGACACTGATATTGCAAATATTCATTTTAATTTTCTAACTTTTAAAATTTTTTTACTTGTTAATGGTCTTACATTATATAATTATTGAAATTCAATTGTAAGCCAGATACTGAAACAGCAATTGGTAAGCTTTTAATAGTATTTCTAGACTTGTCAAGTGTCCATTTTAGTCATTACTATATGGTGAGCTATGATTTTTCAGAATTAAATGTATTGCAGGCATATTTGCCAAATCTTTATGTAGGTTTCATTATAGTACATCTTTATGTAGAGAAATTATACTTGCATTTTAGGGGCATACCATATAGAATGCCAAATAATAAATTTTAGGAAGCCCTCATTCTCTTCATAGAAAAAGCTGGTCTCAGAAGAAAGAACCTTATTGTTTATCGAGTTATTTCCAGATAAGGGAAATAAAGTTCCCCCTAAACTATTCACCACTACCTTATGGTTTCTTGTATCTAGAGTTATTTGATTTGTCTAGCATGTGATTTGAATCCACAAGCAGATCCATGGGAGAAGGATTTTCTCATGTGATTTACTGCCTCTTAAAATCTGCTGGAGGATCAGTTGTAGGTTGGTTTCAACTCTGTGGCACACAACAACAAGAATAGTTTCTGTGGAGGTAGATCTGGTGGCATATTCCATGGGAGTTGTCCTGCTAACCCAAAGGCAGCATGTTCTCTCTAGTAGATTAAATTCACCAGTGGTTCTGAAGAAAGGATGGGCAATTTCCTCTCTTTCAATTTACAGCCTCTGAGAAGCCACTGGAGGATCAGCTGTGAGTCAGTTCTGACTTGATGGCAATGAGTTTGAGTTTGAATACTTGTGGCTCTTGAGCTACTTGAAATGTGACTAGCTAAAATTGAGATGGGCAATAATTACATTTAGTGTGGAAAACAAAGTAAAGGTAAGAAACTTCAGTAATGTTTTTAATGCTGATTTTATTTTGAAATTATATGTTAGATTTACTGAGTTAAATAATATATTACTAAGATTAATGTAATGCCTCTTTTTTTGGTTTAAACATGGCAACTGTAAGTGACTTTTTAAATACATCTTTTGGATAGTACTGGTCTATAAGGTGGGCTTGAAAATCTTCTATTTTTCTATTTTGATTATAGTCATCACTCTTTATCACATTGCTGATATTTAGGGGGAAAATATATTCTAATGATCAAAAACTCATTAATTAACAAAAACTTAAACTCATTGTCATCAAGTTGGAACAAACTCCAATTTTTAGAGACTTTGAATTGCCTGGAAAGAGATGGCCCATCTTTCTGCCTCAGAGATTGAAAGCCACCAGAGAGGCATCACCTTTGAGTTAGCAGTGCAATTATAAACTATGCAACTAGAGCTCCATTACTCCATTAGAGTATCATTACCTAAATCCCTAGATATGGGCAGTTTTAATTTTGAATCATTAAAATGGCTTGAGGTTTGACTTTAGTTATTATTCAGTAAAACATTACTTGATGAAATTTTGATCTCAATTTTGAGAGTTTTCATATTTTTCTCTATACCTGGTTTTAAACTCCCCACATAACTGGTATATAGACCATTATTTCTGGCAGAGTTCAGACAGTGTGCCATAACGAAGAGCTCCAAGTCTGGTTCCTATATTTGCCGTTCACCCACTATGTGATCTTGAGTGTGTGACTGAGTACTTCCAGGCCACACCCACTGTTCATTGTACCAAGGATCTGAGGTGGCTTAGGGTTTCCTATAGAGGGTTGTGCTTCTAACTCAGAAATCTTGCACCTCTGAGGTTTTGAATCAGCTGGATGATTCTTGGGAGAAAGGTGGACAATCTCTTTCTGTTGTATTTACAACTTCAGAAACTTCATGGATGGTTAGCCATGAGTTGGTTTTGATTTGATGACAAGGAGTTGAGGGGCTGAATTCGTATAACAAAAGCAGAGTTCTCTGCCAGTTGCCCCAGAAACACCTTGCAGGAGAGAGGACAGTTGAGAGTCTGACTTGGGGTACATTCCAGGTGGAAAGGATTGCTCGTCTTAATTTGGGAAACTGGCTGTTGTAAAGTAGGACTAGGAAACATTTTAAAGAATCAGCAAGAGCTAGTGATGTGGATTATGAGAATAAGGTACTGGGATAAGACAAAGATAATAACTTGAAGGATTTGATCTTGAAGAAAAAAAAAACTTAACGGCCTTAAGAAAATAATGTATTTCTGAACTGAGAACTATTTGCTATTATAACACTTCAATGTGTTCCATAAGTGCTTTGTTGTTGTTTTGGGGTATGATATATATAGAGGTTGATTCTCTTTTTGTCTTATTCTCTCAGAAATAATAAGTACCATCTATTTACACAGGTGAGAGACCGTATATGTGTGACTATCCAGACTGTGGGAAAGCCTTTGTTCAAAGTGGGCAGCTCAAAACACATCAGCGTCTTCACACTGGAGAGAAACCTTTTGTTTGTTCAGAAAATGGTATGCTGTTTGAAATTATGTTAATATAATAGTTATGAGTTAAAATTGCTTGAATTTTTGCTCTAGATTTTAGAAAACATGTAAACTTTCTTGTTAGTTTAAAAATCCATGTTGAACTTCTTTGAAAGGATTGATTTTTAAGTATGAAAATCTTAAAATTAAAGACCTATCCAGCTGTAGGTAGTTGAAAAGTCTACAAAAGCAAATAAATCCAGTAGGCTTTTACTTTGCTTTAAACTTTTTGACTCTTAAACTGAAGTGAGCACATTATTATCTACATTTTTAGTAAAGATTGGGAAAATAAAAAGTAAAGACCTTAACCAGATGTTTTTCTTATGCACACTTATATAATTATATTTGAAATTAAATACAGTTGAGAAAGACCTTAACACTGTTCCTAATAGTATTTTCTTACCAGATGTTTTTCTTATGCACACTTTATAATTATATTTGAAACTAAGTACAGTTGAGTTTTTCTTATTTCTCTGTAGTTTTCTTGATTATAATCAAGAAGCATGTTAGAAATTACTTTGCTTGAGTTTGTATACAATGTTCAGGGTTGGGAACTGAATATTTAGTGTGTTCATCTCTTAAAATATGATAGATTTCACTAAAGGGGTTACTAGGGCTGACATCTTGAACTTATTCCTAATGCTTCTCGGGGGTATTGAGAAGGCCCATATCACCTTCTCTTGACTAGCATGTGTTAGTGATAGTACTGTCTCATCCATCTTAATTGCTTTTTCTTAGACACCACTGAAACTGAACATTTTTCCAGGTCTGTTTGATGGCTGTACATATTGTGATAAGTGTTTCCCTCCTTGTTTTGAAGGCTGTCTAAGCAGATTCACCCATGCAAACCGCCACTGTCCGAAGCACCCTTATGCCAGGCTGAAGAGAGAGGAGCTAACAGACGCACTCAGTAAGCACCAGGTTGCAGATAACAAGGCTGCTGCTGAGTGGTTGGCAAAGTAAGGCACTCTGCCTTTAGGCCACTGGGAAAGTCTGCCTTTGGGCTTGGTTTTGTTTTGGGGACTTTCACAGCTTTGTTGTGGAAGTAACATTTTATTTCTTAAACCACAGATTTGTTATGAGTGGTATTAGAATCGATGTGTGTTAGCAGATTAAAAAAGTGTGACTTTTTAGTAACATTGTTGTTAAGGAATATTTATTTATATTTAGTATGTTTCAGCTTATCATTAGTACATTTTCATTTTCTTTTTATTATAGCTAGATTTTTATACTGATTATAGCAGGGAATTGAAGTTAGAAGTTGTTCCTAAGTGAAGTTCCAAAACATTTTAATTTTATTAACGACAGTGAAGCTATTGTCAAAAATTTCCTCTGAAGATATTTTGGTTTTTAGGATTCATTAAGTGGATTTTGTGACAAAAATGAAGCAGGAGAAGGAATGACTGAATTTTGTACATTCAATGATTTATTCATAGCAAGTATTGTTTCTTCACATTGTATTTCATGCAATCATTCTCATGCATTGTGTTTTATAACATTGATCACCATTGGACCTTGCCCATCTTCACCCTGTCTTTTCTCCCAGATCCTTCCCATTTATTTCTCCCCCCTCTCCAGCCACCAAACTGCAGAAACACAAATGGTGACTTTACACATGGACCTTACCTGATGGACAGCATAGAAATTAGATTGACTAAATCTGTGAAAAGAATTGCTGGAGAGCTCAATAACAAGAGTTAGAACCAGAACAGGTGCTGTGTAACTGACCATCAGTTGTTATGTGCCGGTGAGTCACTTGGGACTCATAGTGACCTTATGCACAATAGCTCAGAAACCTGCCCTATTCTGAGCCAATCTCACTGTCTCTGATACACCTGTCTTCATTTCCCTAGTCACTGTGTCATTCCATCTCATCCAGGGTCTTCTATTTGGAGACAGCTACCTAGCCAACTTACTGGAAGAGATCCATATTTATTCCTATTCCAAAAAGAGTTGATCCAAGAGCGTGTGGATATTATAGAACAATATCACTGAAATCACATGTAAGCAAAATCTTGCTGAAAATTATCCAAAATGACTGTGACAATACATAAACAGAGAACTACCAGAAATATAGTCTGGGTTTAGAAAAGGCCATAACAATAGGGACGTCATAGCCAATATCAGTTGGGTCTTGGCTGAAAACAGAGAGTACCAGAGGAAAGTCTATGTTTCATTGACTGTGCAAAGGCATTTGACTGTGTGGATCACAGCAAGCTCTGGCTGACTCTGAGAAGAATGGGAATCTCACTTGACTGTGCTCATGTGAAATGTATACCTGGTCCAGGAAGCAGTCATCAGAACAGAGCAAGGAAACACAACATGGTTCAAATTTTTGAAAGGGATGCATCAGGGATGTGTCCTGTCTCTATATCTTTTCAATCTATATGAGGAACTTTATCACAAAGAATGTGACATCGGAATTAGAGGAAGACTCAGTAGCCTTTGTTATGCAAATGACATGACCTTGCTTGTTGAGACTGAGAAAGACTGATGAAGCATTTGCTGCAGAAGGCCAAGGATTAAAGCCCAATATAAAAAAAAAAACAAAGATACTCACCACTGGGTCAATTGTTAATATCATGATAGCTGGAGAAGAGATTGAGATTGTTAACAGTTTCAGCTTTCTTGGCACTCTTGGCACCATCAGTCAGGAAATCAAAAGATAAATTGCATTGGGAAAATCTACTGTTAGAGACCTCTTGAGAGTGCTGCAGAGCAAGTATGTCAGACTAGAAACTAAAGTGCGCCTTATCGCAGTTACTTGCTATGGATCAGAGAGCTGGACAGTGACTAAGTATGATGGAAGAAGAATCGATGTCTTTGAGTTTGGGTGCTAGAGAATAGTATTGAATATTCCATTGATGGCCAAGAGAACAAACAGGTCTTTCTTGGAGAGGGTGAAGTCAGATTTCTCCTTGGAGTCAAGGATTTTGAAGCTTTATCTCACATACCTTGGGCATATTGCTCAGAGGGACCAATTCTTGGAGAAGACCATCAATTACTCATGTGTAATTCAAATTAAAGCTGAAGAAGATTAAAACAAATCCACAACCCTCTTGTGCTTGCTCCCAGCCACAGGGTCGGAGCAGGAGTGAGAGTTCCTCTTGGCCTCCTTGTGTCCTAGTGCCGCCTGGTCTTAGAGCAAGTTCCCAGCACCATGAAGATCTGGACCTGTGAGCATGTCTTCTACCACCCCGGGGAAATGGTCACAACTGCTGTGATGTAGAAGTACTCCAACCTGATGAATCCCAGTGTGGTGGAAATGATGTCCTGCACAGTCCACACCCCTCAGAGAAGCTGACTGCCCTCTGTGATGCAATCTCCTATTGGTGCAGCGGGAACTGAGATTATAAGTGCAGGAGCATTCTGTAGTTGATCCTGTAGAGAAAATGATGGAACTGAAATGCACATATTAATATTTCATTTACAAACATGTTTTCAGTGGGCGAGAGGCTCACCTACAAGCCCCACACTACGGACCTGGGAAAAACAATTCTCAGTCGGGAAGCCATCCTCACCCTGAAGGGTGTGAGCCTCAGCAGCTACTTGGAAAGTCTGATGAGAGTACCATATCATCTCTTCAAATGCTAGTAATGGTCAAGAAACCATGGAATGAGTAATGCTAAGATTGAAGAATTGGCTCTGCTAGAGGAAGCATAAACCACCATTGGCAGTGGCGGCATTTGGAGAGAAATTACAGTGACATGAGGCACAGTGGCAGGCTCCAAGTCAGCAGTGTATTTATTGATTATTTAAGAACTATAACTCTATTTTAAGTAGATTTTTGTTTTTTTAAAAGTAAGGTGGAGATTGTTTATATGTCTTTGGATCAAAACAAAGAGGAGTAGGATTTCAAACCAACAGATCATTGAAAATATTGTTGGTTGATGACAGTCTATTTATCAAGTATCCTATGTTTTTGTGGAAATTCAACGTTTATTGAAAAAGTGCCCTGAAATTGATAACATCATATTGAGTCTCCTAGAAGTAAAGGGTCAGGTTTCCAGGGTGTGGAAATTCTGCTGGGCTTTGACCAACACCACAACAAAGCGAACCTACTCTGGTCCACAGGCTGCCCTCACTCTGCTGCACACACCAAAAAACTCATCTTAAAGGGAGAAATTGGGACTTTTCAAGGCTATATTGATTTGCCTAAATTATCTCACTCTGTTAAAACCAGTGTTTTGATTTGGTATTTTGGTAAGATTTTTTGAAAGAAAAGTCTTATCAAAGTAATCTATAATTCCAACAAGATAGGATTTTATTGTGTTAAAGAGTACTGAATTGGCTTGCCAATATTTATAACTTAGTCAAAAAGCATTACCCCGTTAATTAATTGCATCTGTAATACCTTCAAAGTCTTGTGATTTTGTGTGCTCTATGTGAGCTAGTAAGGTTAACTGAAAAGTAGCCATTACCTGAATTTTTTAGCACTCTAAACGTCACTGAACAGCTGTGCACATCTTTTAGTAATTCGCATGTGGCTGACTTAGAGATCACCGAGTGTCCAGATTTCTTAAGTGGCCACGACTCTGTGATTGCTAATACCTAATGTGTCATGTTGTTTAAATAAAATTACCTTTTTACGTAATTGTCATCATAAAACTTTCTTTACACAAAGAGCTGTGCATCATTGGAAATTACACAAATATTCTTTTGATCTGAAGCATAAATCCCAGGTACTTAATGTTTTTTATAATACAGCACTAGTGCAGGGTGTAGGAGGTGGTAGGGAAGAAAAAAGAATAAGAAAGGGGGAGGAAACCCAAAAGCATTGGCCCAAGTTAAGTACTAATTGAATTGTGCTATAGCTTTCATTTAGGATAAATTCTTATTTTGGCTGCAAAGGGGCTGCTGCAGTTAGAAAATAATCCAATAAATGTATTTCATCTCATACTTTGTAGCAGAGTACTAATACCCCAAAATTGAAATTGTTGTATTGTTTCTGTTACAAGGTGATTGATTAGTTCTTGCCTTTATTGTTAATAACACATGTTAACTAGTCTGGTTTCCTACTTAGAGAGAACCTATTGTATAGATCAGATGTCAAGCTATTAAAAAAAATAATTGGGGTTTTGAGAATAATATTCAGCTTATGATTTCTTAGGACATTTGTTAAAGCAAATTGAATCCAATAAGGTTTGTGATTATTTTTTGTACCTAGAAATGGTTTTTACAACTGAAATTTAACATTTCAGCTAAACAGAACATTGTGGAATACTGTTATTTGATAAAACTTGCTTTGTGTAATTTCTGTAAATTGTTGAAGATATAATGCCCTAATGATAAAAAGGTTTCAAACATAGTTCTCTTTTAAAAATAGTTAGTAATTTGACTTTGGCCTATTAAACAGCAAGCATTTATATTCAGAGGCCAAAACTGGACTAGACTATAAATAAACACATGGGCTTATTGAACATCTTACCCTATTTAATATTAAAAATGTAAGTTATATGAATTAAGAGAAACCTTTCTTGTTAATAAAAATTTGGTATTAACTAAAAAAAAAATATTTACAAGAAGCAAAATATGACCTTGAGTCTATTCCACCTGAATTAAAAAATCATCTGAAGAACAGGTTTGATGATCAAAGATTGGAGACCAGAGGAGCTGTGGAATGAAATCAAAGACATTTCCATGAAGAGATAAAGGGTCATTACAAAGAGGACAAAGAAAAAAATAAAATGGATGTCAGAAGAAACTATAAAAATTGTATGAGAGAATTTAGAAGCAAAAACAAAGGGAAGAGATGCTGAAGTTAAAAAAAAAAAAGATATCAAAGGGTAGCTTGAGAAGACAAAGCAAACTATTACCACAAAATATGCAAAGAGCTTGAGTCAGAGAATAAAAAGGGAATAACTTGCTCAGCATTTCTCAAGCTGAAAGAACTAAAAAGACAGATTTTTTTAAAAAACTTCTAATTGTAATACTGAAAGATACCAATGGCAAAATCTTG